GCCGCGGTGCGCCCGAGGACCCCGCGCCAAAACTGGGCCTGGCTGAAGCCCAGTAGCAGCACCCAAGCTTGCACCACGGCCACCAGGTCGTCCTTCGGGAGTATGGGCGATGCGCGCAAAGGAGCCGTTGACGGGTCCAGGTGGGCGCAGTGGCGCTGCTGCGAGAGCGACTGCGGGGCTGCTCGGCACGCTGTCGGTAGGCAGGGTCGGCAGTGCGGCTGCTGAGCCGTGGGGCCGCGGGAAAAGGGATCGCCACCGCGAGGTGGGCAGCGCGGGCGCTACTAAGGTCGCGGGCGTCGGCGAAGTCGACAATGGACTCAGGAAAGGCTCGCGGCCGAGGCTTGGGCACCGCCGCGGGGAAAGGGGGCAGCGGCCTTAGATGGAGGTGCACAGCGCCGCCTGGTAGCCGGAAGAAGGAGACGGAGACGGGCTGGCAACCACGGCCGCCGAGCGGCAGGCGCCACGGCTGTCCACGGGCGGCGGGGCCCCCGCGAGGACCAAAGGGCTGGAAGCGGCGGGGGCGCGCGGTAGCCAGGCGTCTGCGACGCGCCCGCGATCAACTCCGCAACTGCGGTCCTCCGCGCGTCCGTAAGACACGGGTGCCAGCTGCCACGGACGTTCCAGTCGTCGAAGGCCCGGTGGAAGGCGCGAGCAGCCTGGCTAGGCACAAGCTTGACGTCGCTGCCGAGGGCGTGGCCCACGGCCTCCAGAAAGGCAGCCCAGTTGGTCATGAAGGACTTGTCGGCCTGGCGTTCGGTGAGGGCGTGACGGGCCCAGTAGAGGATCTCGTCGTAGCGGGGGTCGGATATCAGTCCGGGGGAATGCCAGACCCCAGAACATTAACCGCAGGGGCCCCACAAGAGCCGTGCACGCTCGAGAGGAATTGGGCCAGGACTTCGGGGTGATGCCGCTGGTGAGGAGCGGGTAGCTAGTCTACCGAGTGCGCGACGAAGGAGCACCACTGCTGGGCCTGGACCCCCCCATGCTGACGGAACATGACAAAGGCGTACCCGAGGGCGTCCTTGTTCAGGCTAGCGATGGCAATGTCCTTGCGTTGCCAGGGGTGAAAGCTCTGTCCTCCTTGCGGAGGTGGGTGAAGATGCTGCGGAGACCCTTGGCGAGGCCGCCGTTGGCGGGGCCAGTGGGGGCGCGGGCAACGCCGTTGCCCGCCGACTCGACGACGTCGAGAGCTGCCTGGTTGAGGGCGAGGGGCGCGCCCAGTGGGCCAGGGGCTGGTGGGGGGGCAGGTGCCGCAGCGGCCCCTTGAGCCAGCGCGCCAGCGAGCTTCCGACCGGTCGAGCGCCCGCGTCCCCGAAGCCTCGCGCGGGCCACCTCTGGGCGGCAGGGGCGACGTGAGCGGCGCGCGAGGCAGCGCGGGTCGCGCGACCGAGGAGAGCAGCTTGCCTGCTCGGCCAGCCGAAGGCGCGGCGAGAGACTTGGAGACCGAAGCGGGGACGATGAAGTACGGGGCTCAAAAATGCACGCCACCACCACCACCACATCCCTCACCCCCCTCCAGGGGAAGAAAAGAGGAAGAGAAGGCTGGAGGAGGGGAGTGGGGATGATGGTGGCGGCGGCGGCGGTGGCGGCGATGGTGGCGGCGGCGGTGGCGGTGCATACGCTTGGGGCCCGCACGAAGGTGCCCGCAATGATGCGAGGCGCCTGGCTCCTGCGGAGAACCGATCTGCATCGGGCATCAAGCCTGCAACCGGCTCCCCTGGCAGGGGCTCAGATCCGGCCCGGGGAGCCGGGAGCGGCGACCGCGAGGTGTCTCCTGGCAGGAGGGTCGGCGGCCGGCGCCAGCGAGCCCAGTAGCCGAGGCATCTTGGAGGCGGGGGGGCCCGCGAGGGGGGCGGGCCGCATGGGCGAGAGGAGGGCGCGCAGAAAATCCGGCGGGGCGCTCTCAGCGCCGCGGGCTTGCAGAACGTGCTGGGACCTTAGTTGGCGCCGAGCGCCACCGCGCCATAGCGCGGCGCAGCAGCGAGAGCAGGCCCAGGCGCGGTCGCGGCTCATGCCCTGCCACGCCGGGCCCAGCTGAGCCCAGAGGGGGAAGCTGTCGACGAGCTCGTAGCCGCGTCCAGGGACCGCGCGGAAGATGAACGAGCCGACGGGGCCGGCCCACCTGGCCGCGTCGGGGCGGCACAGAGCGAGGGCGCCGCTGTCGCGGAAGTCACAGCGGAAGGTGATGGGACCCAGGCGAAGGCCGAACCTTTTGTCAAGCGTGACCCGGGCTGGGATGGGGGTGGAGGTACAGGGCGGGTCGCCGTCCACTGTCATGGGGATCAGGCCGCGGGGAAGAGCCTCGCGACCGTCTTGACCAACGGGCCACATCGGGGCCCTGCCGTGGCCGATAGGAAGGGTGGGAACCCAACCTCTAGGGGGCCTGGTCGTCGCGGATCCAGTTTCGCGGGGGGGGGCGACGTCGGGGCCATCGTCGTCGAGCGGGCGGATGGCGCGCGCCCGACAGTACCAAACGCCCAGCGAGCCGCTGTAGAAGAGCACGCGCTTCGCGGAGGCGATAACTTTGCTGAATTTGGCGGAGGCCTAGTGGCCAGAGGAAAACCCTTTGTCGCCCAGCGGACCGCGGCAGGCACGGCACTCGTCGCACTGGCAGTTGGGATTGTTTGGGTCGAAACGGTTGTCGGCGATGAAAGGAGGCCCCAAAGGGGGCCCATCCTTCTGTCCTAGGTGTCCTAGGGGGAGGATGGAGTGGGGATGCCGAAACGGTCAGGGCACATCCACGAGCGGGCGCGGGGGGGGTCGGCCGCGACCGCGGCGGGCTGGGAGCACCCCATGTCGACGAGGCGCGCGCATAGATAGCACCCTTCAGTGGGGGAGCGGATGCTGGCGGCTGGGACGGCGCGCTCGAGCGCCTGAAGTCGGCCGAGGCGGCATGCGAGGCCGCGGTTCCGCCCCCCCCCGCCTCGCCGAGGGGGGACTGAACACGAAAGGCGTCGGGAGGCGCACCGCTGGGGCGCGGTAGGCGATGCAACTGCCTGCGCGGCAAACAGCTTCGAGGGCCGCGCACGCGCTGATGGCGTCTTCGTCGGTCCAGCCGCTGTAGCGCCCGAGGGAAAGGCGCCACGCGCGCACCTGCAAGCGGTACCCTGCGAGTACTGTAAGCAGAAAATCGCCTCGAAGATGTCCCCGCAGCCCGACGGGTCTGCGGTCGGGGCGAGATACCGGTCGAGTCACCTGCACTATAGGTTCGCATCGTGTCGACCAGCTGCGACCCCGCCGCCGGCGCTCAACGTTGAACGCCGCTGGCGACCCGGAATCGGTCGATGTTGAAGGACCTGACGTTTCGAAAACGGCCGATCTTTCAAAGTTGAACAACCCCCGCGATGACAGAAACCAACGCCGAAGTCGGCACGACACGAACCTGCCGTAGATGAGGGCGGCGAGTGCACGGTTGACGTCGCGCGTGGTGTGCGGGTCGGGGACTAGGCCCACCGTCCTGCGGGCACTGGGCGGGTCCTTCAGCGCGACGTCGAGGTTGGGAGGAGGTGCCACCTGATGGCATCGGCACACCAAAGTGTCGTCGGTGAGCCAGCGGGGCAGGAGCCGAGGGGACTCCCTTGTGAGCACCCGCTTTTCAGATGTGGGGGCGGGCCCAAAGCCCGACGGTGGCGTGGTCTTGGCCTTGACTATGCCCCCGATGATGCGAGGCGACGCGCACCCCTGGTCAGCGGCGAGCCCCAGCGCGCGAGTCCAAGCATGGAAAGCGATGGGCAGGGGGCCGTTGCACGGATCGAGGTGGCAGGTAGGGTTTCGGCAGTGCCCCAGGTGATTGAACGGATTCAGGTCCCACCCGCTGACATGGGGCGGGCAGCTGACCTGCTTGAAGCGGTGGGCGTGCATGGTGGTGAAGTGGGCGAGATCGGGAGCCACGGCTGGATTGTCCATAAGGATATCGAGGGCCTCGTCGTGGAATAGAAGGCTCGAGTCGGTCCAGTCGATGTCGATCGAAACAGGCGGGGGGGTAGGAGGCGCACCCCGCGTGTGCGCGCGGGACGGGGCGGCGGAGCCGGTGCGGTCTTCGGGGGCTTCCGCACAGTGGCAATGAGCGCTTCGTCGATAGGTGACCTGCGGAGGACGTTGCCGTCGACGCTGAGTTGGCAGACTAGTCCAGCCTTGTGAGCGTCTTTCACGAGGTCCCGCAAGCCCGACTCGGTTGCGGTTTCGGTCCGCGTGACGTTGGTGATGATCATGACGGCGCACCGGCCTCTGGAGTAGGGGCCGTTGAGGCGCTCTGGCAGGTCCACGTGTCCCCAGGACTTGGACGATGTGGACCTGGTGAGGCAGATGATCACGATGTCCTTCTCCCGGCCTTGCCAGTTTTCGGCGGTGCCAACAAGGTAGTCGAGGCTAGTGGAGGGCTGGGAGAGGGGGAAATCCGGGCCCACGATGTCCTGGGGGCGAGGGTCTTTGGCGCAACCATAGCCGAGGTTCCGGCGGGTAGCGTCGAGGGCAGCATCGTCCGCGGCGTCGGGGCCGTCGCGCGGATCCCGCAGGTGCGCAGGGAAGCAGGATAATGAGGGCCATCTCTTTGTAGGAGACCACGAACCCGAGGTGCAGGTCCTGCCGCGCGCACGAGGGAGCGATGAGGTTATCGATCTGGGTAGCGAGCCGCGCTCGGTAGCAGTTGCCTTTGCTGCTCTGCGGGTTGGCGCACTCGTGACCAGGAGCGCGCGCGACCAGGATGCGATGCGGCATCCCAGGCGGAGTAGCGAACCGGCCATTCCAGCCGCATCATTTGAACTTGTGGCGGGGCGAAGACAGTGAGAGGGCACTGTCGGTGCCGCGGGCGGCAGGCTCTGCTGCGTCGGCTGCGACGTCGCCGGTGCCAGCTGCCGCGGCTCGCGCAGAGGTCGCGGAGGACGCCATCGCGTGTAAGAGAAAGTTCAGGTCTGAGACCTGCTCGCCGACTGGGGAGACGAAATCGGCGGGGGTTCGTCGTCAGAGTCGGAGGGGACCGAAGCGTCAGCAGGTCGGGTGACTCAAGGTATGTCGTCTGGGATGGGTCGGTCGTCGATCGTGAGGTGGGGCCAGAGCTGCCCGCCGCAGTAGGTCAGCCAGACGACGAGGTCGCTAAGGCTGCGTCGGTTCTCGCAAAGGACCGCAACAACTTCCTCGCTGCATTGATGGCAGTGCATGAACTTAGCCACGAGCGAGATCTTGAAGCCTCGCGCCTCGGCGTCCTTGGACTTGCAGCGCGGAGACAGCTGGGAGGGATCGCCGACCATGACGATGGAGGCGAACGGGCAGCCGCTGGTGGGCACAAGGGAGAGCGCTTGGGTGTAGAGCAGCCTCGTCGATGAGGACGGCTCCGAACTGGGGGCCCGCTGTCTGCTCGAAGCCGCAATAGACACCGTCGACCCGCTCGAGAGTCGCCGCGAAGATCTTGACGGAGGGGGCGCACTGACGGCCCCAGAACTTGAAGGCGTCGGTCGTCTTGGGCTTGCGGCCCCCAGATGGGTTGTAGTGGGTCTTGCCGGAGGGCTTGTGTCTCTCGATCCTGTGCTCGAGGGTGAGGAAGCGAAGGTGTTCGGGCAGCGATGACGGCCGTCGTGCCATAGGATTCAAGGGGGGTCGCTCCACTTGGTAGGCGCCTTGGCGTTGAAGTCGAGCAGGTGGTCCACGGCGTTGTTGGCCGCCGAGCCAGCACCGCTCGCGACCAGGACGGCCCAGCCTTGCGGGAGGACCCGGGAGTAGAAGACGTAGAAGGCAGCGAGCAGCCGAGTCTGGCCTGTACCAGGGGGGCCTTGCACCGTGGTCCAAGAATATCACGCTGCACGCTTGAGGGCCGCGGCCTGGGCGGCGTCGAGCGCGAACAGGTCGGCGACCTCCTGCATGAGCAGCGCCGACGGGATGGCGTCCGTGCACGCGGTGAGGACTGCGCGGGTGGTGTCATCAAGGGCTGGGAGGGAGGCGACCCAGACGTTGGCGTCGAAGGTCTGAAGCAACGAGCGCGCGCACCTGGCCATGGTGGCGCGCCAGTAGGGTGGGGGGAGCACCACGGCAGGGACGTGGGCCACGGAGAGGTGGCCGCGGAGCTCTAAGGGCAGGTAATTAGGCCTCGAGCGAGGAGCCCAGGACCTTGGTCGCGTAGGTGATGCAGTTCTTGTGGCACGCGCGAGCCTTGCGAGCCTCGGACCGGAGGTCGACAGGGGCGGCCCCCTCGGGAGTCTAACACTTGGAGGGCACGTCCTCGGAGGGACTGAGGAGCCGAGGGCGTCGGTAGGCGACCTTGGTCCACCTGGCGTCAGCTTCGGCAGCGCCGTAGGTCGGCCAGGGCGGGGAGAACGGGGCGGGGGTGTCTTCGCCCTCGCCCAGAGCAGACCCAGGCCCGACGCGAGGGCCGCTGGAGGGCAGACGCCTCGAAATGTCAATGGATTCTCGCGCGCCGGGGGCGGGCGCTGTCGTCGGACGGCCAGATGGTGGGCTCAGCGGAGGTGGAGCGCGCGGGGCTAGCGCAGTCAGCGCCGGTCCCGAGCGAGGCCGAGATAACGTGGGAGCCCGAGCGCATACGGGCTGAGCAATCAGCCCTGGGGACTACGGTGCTCCGCAAGGCCATTGAGGGCGGCGCTGCCCAGCCAGGGCGAGTCGGTTGGCCGTCAGGGTGAACGAGCCGGTCGCCGACGTACCACGTGACAGCGTCTTGGGACTTGCCCTTGTGGTCCAGCAGCTGGTGCCGCGTGAGCGGGGAAGAGGACCTCGGCGATCTCGGTGAACGGGGTCTCCGAGCTGGTCTGCACGCAGATCGGGAGGTTGGAGGGGCCGTGGCAGTCGGTGACAGGGGGCAGGTAGCGGCGCCCGCACGGAGTGTCGTTGCGCGCGCGCCCCACGGCTCGATGCCGCAGATGCAGTCAGCCCCGCATGGGCGGGGACTGAACTCAGAGCCGCCGCTGACGAAGCCAGAAAGGGGTGCAAACCACACGCTGGCAAGCCAGGAGCAGTCCATCTTAGGTTTCAGGCGGCCCCCCCTGGTGTGCGTCTTGCAGGGCTCGCAGCACCAGCCGTCTCGTCGTTGGGGTCGCGGGTGACCTGGAGGACCCAGGCGGCTCAGCCATCGAAGCGAAGGGAGACCTCGTAGTAGTCATCTGGGAACGCGACGGTGGGCTCACACAAGATGACCGTGCGCCGCGCGCGTTGCCGCTGCATCCGCGCGAGGGGGAGCGTCATGGCACGCTGCTGGCAGCTAGGCTGTGGCCGCTCGGAGGCGGCGATTGCGCCGGCCTGGCAGCCATGCGCGCGCCCCTTCGGCCCAGGGCCCCAAGCGCACGCCACGGAGTGCCGGGGGGCCCGATCCTAGGGCGAGGGCTTTGCGTGGCGGGGTACCATAGACGGCTTGAGCCAAGAGTTACGGGCACACATTCACGCAGGCACGCACGCACGCACGCACGCGCCCACACACACACACACACACACACACCATGCACACCACGCATACACACACACACACATACACACACACACACACACCATGCACACCACGCACACACACACACCATCCTTCATTTTGTTTTTATGAGCTGCAGCCCTGGTTTGACATCGAATGGTCAGGTGGTGGTAGCTTTGGTCAAAGAAAAGGGCCGAGTATATCGGAGACTGGGGAGGGTCACGAAATTTGTGTTGGCGACGGACGACGCCCAAATGATCCATTGCTACCCAGCTCTTGTTTCCCGAAAACAGCGCTTGCAGTTTAGGATTCGACCCTCGGCTCGAAAGAACTGGGTACCAGGTGGTGTAGTTTTCATGGTGCTATGGGTTGCGGAAACAGGTTGCGACATGGGTGGTGCGGATTTGGGGCGCCACGGGTTGCGCTCATGGTTTGCGCCAACGGGTTGCGTCCATACGTCGCCAGCGATGAATTGCTTTACGTTTGTGTACTGTCTACTGTTTCACGATTCACCACATGTGTTGCACTACTTCCTGATTTGGGGTCCACGCTGGGACCATGATCCAAACAGAATGTGAAGCGGCCTTTGTAGCCAACTGTAGTACTCTGGTACGGCGAGCGGATAGATCTTGTGCGCTTGTGTCACCGCCGTCGTTGTCTACGACGATGTTGCTCCGACCCCTCCAATCCGATGTGTTCGCCACCCCTCTGCACACCCCTCTGCAACTCCTAGCATAGCAATCGGAGGGGCCTGGCATCCTGGAGGTCGGGGATGATACTGACCAGCTGGTCGCATGCAGCCAATATGCTTACATTGAATGGATGCCAACCGCTCTGGCAGGGCACCACTGCGTCTGCGATGGCCTCGTCGCTACAGCCACGGCAGCATCACATTCGACGCGCATTCTGTCATGAGCGAATTTGCATCCGAACTGTTGCTCCGCGAGGTCAGCGCCATGGTCGACTTTTTGATCAAGGCCATCCTTATGCGGACGCAGGCAACTGAGCGACGGCCGCTGCCCTCCTGGCCCGAGCGCCCTGATCGCTGCTGGCAGTTGCCTTCAGTCAGACAGGGCGCATGCGATGTGATGCCAGTGTGTGGTGTGGACATGCTTTACTTGAGCAGCACCGTCGAGGTGCAAGAATGATGGGCGAGTGGGCGTGCTGTCTCGCTTTGGACGGCTCTTGCGATTCTTTCTCACGCGTGCGCATCCAGTTTCACATAATGGTGCCAGGGAAAGCTTAGGACCGATTTCCCCCTTGGGAGTCCAGCAAGGGGGACGTAGGCCCAGACGGCCCCTGGATGGCCCCAGATCGCCCGAGGTGGCTTCCAGAATGACCCAAAGAGAACCCAAGATTGCGCGAGTATGCTCCGAAAAGGCCCCTGACGACCCAAAAGAGCTCCCCACGAGGCCGAGAGGACAAAAAGATCACAAAACCCAAGCACGCGGTTCAGGAGGTCTCCAGGGAGCCCCAAGACGGTCCAGCACACCCCCAAGACGATCCACACTTACATCACATGAATACTATTACTCTTTTCCCTTGATTTTGCGCTGGCGTGCTCCCACTTCTTTCGCGTATTGATTTTCTCACACAGGATTTCTTTACTTGGTCGCCCTTGTGGTTGTTTTGATCGGAACGTTTCCGGTCCTTCAAAAATGGAGTTCCCGTTGCAGCGTTGGCCACATTCCAGGATCGGCGCTTTGATCGGCCCTCGCCCAAGCGCGGAACCCTGATCTGGATCGATTTCTTCCTCGTCATTACCGTTCCTTTCGTTTCTCCTCCTTCGCCTTCACTGGTCCTCCTGCTCCTGCTAATACTACTGCTGTTCTGCCCTTCTCTCATCTTCCCTTTTCTCTGCCCATCCGCCAGCACAATTGCCTTTGATGCACAGCTCCTCCACTCCAATTTCGCTCTTTTTGTCGCAGCTGCGAGGGTCCTCGCCGCGTGCGGAGGCACACGTGGGATGCACGTGGCCAAATTTGGCACAGCGGGCATCGGCAGGAGGAGAGCGTCTGGGGAGGGAGGGGGGCACGCTCACAACGTGAAGTCCGTGTACGTGAGGTGGAAGTCGGTGCAATTGCGCATCACACGAGAGGGCCACTTTGGAGAGCAGTGCCCTCTAGGACACCCCAGTCGGCGGATAGGGCAGAATCCAAAGGCACTTGGAAGGCTTGGGTGGGAGAGGGATAGGGTATCAGACATGGCTCGAGCGAGCCTAGCTTGTCCCCCTCTCCCCTCCCTCGCACATCCTCCGATCCTTCTCCCCAGCCGTCCCTCTCACCGCGTTCCCCCCCCTCATCCCTCCCCCTAGCCCTCCCTCCCCCTCTTCCACCTTCCCTCCTAACCCCTGCCCCTCCCGCTGCTCCTCCCCGTCCCCCGCGGCCCGCCGCAGGGTGACGCCGGCGCCACAGTAGAGATCGACAGCGACGTCCCGCGGGCTGGGGTCGTGGCCGTCTGTGGCCGTCGCCGCGCCGCCAGGTCGACCCAAAACGGTGGGAACTCGTTGTCTCCCTGGTTGTTCTCTCCCTGGTTGGGGCTCCCCATCGCCGCGGCTGGCTGTGGCGGTCGCGCGTGCGGCCCGGCGTTTCCCTTCTCAGCGAAGCGCAGGGTCGTCTGCGTGTTTCTGATTGTGCGGCGCGGCTGCATGGCGTTATCGGCCCGCGTGAGGCGGTTGATTTCTGCCGTGCCGAACGTCGCCCCTGAAGTCCAGGGGTGAAGGGCCCGCAGAGCTTAATTGAATGATCTTGTATTCAGCTGCCTCCGGCAATTGCGCCACCGCCGTGCCAACACAGCCTCCTAGATGACAATTATTCGAGAAGGCAGGAGGGCGTGCTGGGAGCCTTTTGGGGCAGAAGGCTCGAATTCTTGGTTCGTGCTCTCCGACTTGGGGCCTTCTTGGGGCCCTCTTGGGCAGTGGGAGCCTCTCGGGTTGTCTGAGAGACCTCGTGGGGGCCTCCTGAGCCGTCTCGGCGGAGTCTTGGGGGCCTCTTGGGTCGTCTTGGAGGGTCAGGAGCTCGAAAAGGCGAGAACCCGAATGATCCTGGCGAGGGACCCAATCATATGCAGGCGTGAGTACCGCAAGACAGGTGGGACGAAGGACGAGGAACTCCCTACGGGGAACGAAACGTGTAAGGGGCGTGCCAGAGTGAGGTGGCGCGGCCATGTGAACGCTGGCATTCGGGCCTTAGTTGGAGCTCCCTACCGGGCCACGAAGCGTGTGAGATGTGTACCGAACTTAAGCGGCGCCAGTATGTGAACACTGGCATTCTGGCCTTAGTTGAAGCTCCCCATGGGGCCACGAAGCGTGTGAGGGGTGTGCCGAACTGAGGCGGCAGCGCTATGCGAACCCTGGCGTTTGAGCCCTAGTTGGAGCTCCCTGTTGGGCCACGAAACATGCGAGAGTTTTGCCGAAATGAGGCGGCAACGCCATCTGCACGCTAGCATCGGAGCCTTCGTTGGGGCTCCCTGTGGGGCCACGAAACGTGTGAGGGGTGCGCCAACTTGAGGCGGCGCCGCCGTGCGAACGCTGGCGTTTGGGCCTTAGTTGGGGCTCCCTGTGGGGCCGCGAAGCGTGTCATTGGT